AGAACTACCTACAATGACAGAAACTATCTTTGAGAAACATTTACTTATCGTGTACTTTTAATATTCTCAATATCCCATTTGCTAACCTATACTGCAGTCAGCCACTAAGGGGCACTGAAGATGATTTGGCTTCACTTCCGAAGCCCTCACGACAGCCTGAGGTGGTCATGGGAGAGAAGGTAGTCTCACAGGAAGAGGCGGGCTCAGTATTTACATTAGGATATCCGTAATAAGCCCTCTGCTGCGTCCAGACCCCCCCTCACAGGGTTTGTTTGATACTTCGACAGCAGGTGGAGCGACCTTCAGCGACCTCTGGAACGAGACTGACGATGCATTAGAGCAACACGGACGTTAATCTGTGTCAAACTGATGCATGGACACAAGGATACACTTTAGAGTGAAGGTTTTTTTATTAATCCAGCTTCATAAAATGCAGTCACTCTGTGATTTGTAGTATCCTATAAAAAAATCTGATCTTGCAGAGAACGAAGAGTTTAAAAGGTTGGAGGTGTAGAGCCTCCTGTCCCCTCAGACCCGTGCTGAGATCACTGTGGTAATTTGCATGGAAATGGCGAGGCCATCATACACAGAAAATTCATTAACACAATAAAAACCCAATGGTGTGTTTGACTTGGCCACATCTGGCCAATTGAGGGGAGATTTATAATGCGGCGAGTCCGCTCCCGAGAGCAGCGAGTATCATCTCTCCTGTGCAGCACTGTTTATGTAGGCCAAGTTTAAATATTTGAAGAGCACATGTGGGGATGAATGGTGGCACAGGATTTCATCATAAAGCTGTGAAGGGCGAGTCGGCAGGGGGTCATTTTAACAGTAGTGTCAACACCATGAGATCCCACCTCTCGTCGACTCAGCAAACAGTATATCGCAGACGCTCTGAAAGGCGGTGACGGCTGCTTTCTGGAAAGGCACAGCGGGTTTCTGAGAACGTCTTTGATGGTGCCAAAAGGCTCTGGACATCTCTTCTGATTCAGGGAAGTGTGTCCAGAGTAACCATGAGGGGAAAAATAACAGAGGGAGACACCAGAGAGAAGGATCTGATGCAACAACAATGCTCATTGGACAATAGTGACAGAGCTGCTGCTGCACAAAGAGCAAAACAGCTGCGTCTCCATTCACTGGTCCATCCTGCCATTTCATTCCTGTGTCTACAGTGTCATTATGTAACCTCACAAGGAACAAATGAAGCTCTTTCCAATTTCTTTTCCATTTGTCTAGAAGAGGAATCGCCCATGACTGGTTCTGCAGATGTGATGGAGGATATCAGCAGATTCATCACCAAAACATTGTTCCTCCTTCCTGATCGCTTCCTCCTATTTATCTCACAGTTTCCCATCTTTCCCCCCAAATCTGCCAGTTCCCACGCAGCACGCCGTCTCTGATTGCACCTGTGGAAGTTTCCATTCTTCCACTCGCTCAGAGTCCACATCAGGTGGGCTTGGCCGTCAGCTAGTGCTATGAGGGTTTCTGTTTACCCAGCCTGCCTGTCTGTCTGTAGATGTCCGGTGCAGCTTGTCACATCACTGTCCACCTGCCTCACATGGAGAGCTTCAGTCCAGTAACAAAGAAGAAACTGTATTGAATAGCAATGATCGTTAACTTAAAGGTTCAGTGTTTCCAATTTAGTGAAATCTAGTGGTGACGTTGCATATTGCAGCTGAATACCCCTCACTTCACCCTCCCCTTCCAAAGGAGAACCTGTGGGAGCCTTCAGTTGTCATGAAAACTCTAAAGGTGTTTGGTTTGTCCAGTTTGGGCAACTGTAAAAAAATCTATTGGGGTTTTTCTAGCTATTTTTTTTTAATTGCTTTTAAAACGATTTATAAATGATTTTATTTCACTTGATAGGATTCTTGTAATCCCTCTCTGAGATGTTTCATTTGCAGTAATTTCACCTTTCCTTCACTCCTATCCACATCCTTTCAGTTCCTTCCTTCACCGCTCCCCTCTCAGTTGCATCAGCAAGCATATTTCCATCCATCCATCCATCCCGTCCCGTCTGTGGGCGTGCACGTCTGCCGGGGGGTTTCTATGCCATTCCAAGACACACACCTGCGCCAACCCAACCATCCACTGCTGACGTAGATGCTCCCTGCAGGGGAAACAGCCAGAGAGAAGAACAGTGTTCACAGGAGAGGTAGTTAAAGGGAGAGAGAGAGAAGTGGTGGGAGTCGGTGGTGCCTCCAGTCGCAGCTCGTTTCTGTTTATTTGAATGGCAGCAATGGACACAGCGTACAGCTCAGTTAGTGGTCTGACCCGACGCCAGTCACCATCTCCAACGTACACCAGGGGGAGTTTAAAGACGCTCTAAATGGGAGTACAAATAATCCACCGGTCGGGCTACATGTTGTAGTACAACAGGAGCTTTGATACAGAGGTGACTCAACTCGAATGCCATCACACCCATAATATCATCCTTACTCTGGTTTCCCCAAATCTAAAATTAATTTGCATATACTTGTTTTCACATATAGATCACTGCACCATCCAGCCCCTGCTGACATCGCTGTCCTGCTCCATCTGCACAGACCAAGTAGGTCACTTAGGTTCTCTGATCAGGGTGTCAACTCACGTCACCGATTAAAACCTACTTTTGATTGTGCCCTCGAAGTTGTGGACCCAACATTATGCAATATTCTCCATTTAGATTGACTTTCTGCCATATCTACTGAAGCCTTTAAAAAACAGCCTCAAGCCCATTTATGTACTCTGGCTTTTGTCTCAAACACACACACTGTACTGTTATCTTTCTGATTTTATTGCATATATTTATCGTGTATTCTACTTTCTGGTGTTATTTTATTCATGAAAAGACCTTTGTGACTTTGGTCAACTCACTCAACATTAATATTCCAGTGGGGAGGAAGGGACATTTTTCACCTCTGTCTATGCTGTTGTATGATTTCTGCCTCACCTTCAAACATGACCATTTAGAATGTGGAAACACTTTCACCCTTAGACGTGTTCAGACAGTTTTCTTAGTACAAACAAATATAAACTAAGTCATTTGAGGCAGAGTGAATCCTTTAACCTCTGTATCTCTGTCACAAGTTGTGCCAGAAAACCCAACTGAAGGCCCTGCTCCTCCAAAACCTGGTCTTTTTAAAAAACAAAAAGAAGTTGCCTCTGCATGGATCCAAGTGTAATTCATTTTTAATAACATAATATTATGTTTGGCTCCAGCCCTCTGCGACCCTCAGGGTAAGCAGCATAGCTATTAGATGGATGGACGAAAGCTGCAAATTGCAAGTATTCTCATGTGGTTGCCACTGCATTGTATAGTATATGTATATATATATATAGTATATGTATAGCAGGGAAAATACTTGAGAGAGTTTTCTAGTCACTAGCTTATTTAAATTCTGTAGATTGCTATTTGCAGATGTCACAATTGCAATGTTCGTAAACTTTATTTTGGCAGGTGAATTAAGACGATTAACAGTTTCAACAAGGGAAAACGTGTCATATTTAAATACACTGTGATCCAGTCGCTAAGTACAGTGTGTGTTTGTCATAAATATCGACACGTATCCTCTCATGGTCTCTGCTAAGTGATCGAACCTGTCAGCGGCTCATAGAAACACTTGACCCGGCGTTTAGAGCTAATCAAATATTGTGTTGTGCGTCCAGCCAAGCAAGGTGTTGAGGACTGTTTAATGACACAGTAACACTCTGACAGCTTCCTCCAATATCATACGATATTGACTCTGCAACAAAGAAAAGAAATCCTTGCTGTTTTTCAGCTTCGTCCAATTGCTGTGAACCACCTGTTTGATTTTAAACGGCCAAATAGCGAAATGTCAGCAACGATCATTCGAACGATACTTGACCATGTCCAGCTCCAACTGGAGGTTTATTTAGTCAGCTGGCTCAATCGCCTTTTGGCTGCAAATGTCCGTCTAATATAGAGGAGGGAAAAACGATTCAAAGTACTGCACTGCTTAAATGTGGTGCATATTAACCTATGTGGTAGAGAGTCATAGTTTTCTGAAAAATATAAGTAATTGGAAACATGGAGAAGCTCAGGGAGTCTGATTTCTTACTGGTGAATTCTGAGATGAGTTTTATTCCCCAATAGTTCATATAGAGGACTTTTCTTCAAGGAAATGCTGCCCTCTTGTGGGCATACACATACATATATATCTCAGCAAATGTAAATGATTCTTTTGAAAACCTCTGAATATTTCATTTTATTTCAATAAGAGATACCAATAACAGGTAAATGAACAAAGCAACTGTTAGAATAGATTATATGTGGATACTGAGTATTATTACCTCTTTATTAGCCACCATTAAAATAACTGAATTTGTTTGTGGAGCTATAAGACAAACATCATCCACATGGAGATTTGTTATATAAATGAATAAATCTCATTTTGTTTATAACCAGTGCCTAACTTTGATTTACACTAATATACATTTTCATGCGTTCATGACTGTCCTCCCTCAACATAACACCAGAGTGAGATAAACCCTGCAGATGAAGTGATGTCATTTCAGTTGCCATTTGCGAGGGTATGACTTCTTTTTTTTTCCTGACCTAACACTTGAGTATGAGCTTATGGTCCTTTTGACAAACACACTCACATGCGGCTTTAACACGTGTGAGACATTTCTTTGACAGCTACACTAACCAGCCCCTCTGGACACTTCGAAACAAAGGCCAGTCTTTGTCGAGGGGTCTGGCATGTGTCTGTGTGTGAGCTCACGTGAGGGGGGGGGGGTTTAAAGCAAAAGACGAGCATATGTTAAATGTCAGTGTCGGCCATGGAGATTTTGACTGAGCAAACAAACTTCTGTAGATGCTGACTCGTTTCCAGAGTCTGGGAGATGTGATTAGCAGCCTTAAGATGTTTAGGCGTGGAATTTTTTAATGTTTGAAAACCTGTGTGATGTATGACGGAGTACTGAACAATGCTGAGTGGTGAATTTTTAATGCTGAAATCGACCTGATTGACAGAAAACACTGCAGCTTGTTTTGAAGCAGTTTATTCTCAGACAGGTGTTACATGATGGTCTAAAAATAAAATTAGAAAAGCAGTGAAATCAACGTTACACAGAGAATGTTTCAAGCAATTGTCCATCAGTCTTATAGTAAAACATGAGTGCAGCTGTGATAACAGAGCTCCTACACATGTAGACATGTTTGATTCCTGCTGGGCAGACTGGGTCACTGACTTCTGGTGTTTGCATGCAAATGTGCACGACAATGAAATAACAAATGGTAAAGTCAATAGATTAAGCTCCCTTGTAATTATTTCAGTGCACATAGAAACATTTTGCTCATTTACGATAAATCATGTTTACCATTACATAGCTTTTAATTGTTTTCAATGAAGTATGAAAATCTATTTATACTGGTTTATAATTGTTTAATATTATGATGGCGTGGCACATGGTCAAAGGTCTATGTATTTTCATTTTGTCAGAGAGGAATGGTACTTTCAGGTAATGTTATAAAAACAAACCGCTCATGGGGAAGAGACTCAAGTATCCTCAGCTTTAAAGCAAGAAGTGACCAAATTCATCTTCAGTCAAACCTTTGGTGTGGGAAATGAATAAAAGTGCATTTTGTGCAACCAGCAACAGAGAAAATAATAGATATGTGTAATTTTAATTTTATTTGTGTTAAATTTGTCTTTAAATGAATGCAACATTTCTTAAATTTAAATGTTTCTATACGTCCCACCCCCACATCAGTTCTGTCCCCAAACAAACACCACAACCTCCCTCAGCTAAAGGCAGTGAGCCTCTTCTTCATGTACAGAAAGGCCACGTATGTGGCTCCGCCCAGGAGGCCTATCAGGAGAGTGGTACCAACAATTACCGGTGCGTTCTTCCTGGCCACGCGAAACGCCACCGGCAGGACGGCAGATATCAGGATGTTGTTGACATGGCTTAAAACCCTCCTGAAGGCCGGGCGCTCCACCACACGCTCGTAGTATGTTTCCAGGTTGACACGGTTACCGTTGCCCCAGTAGCGACGGGAGAGGCCGAGGAACTTGAGGCGGTGTAAGGTTACTGCCAGAGAGACGTCAGCCATGCTGAAGAAGTCCCCACACAGCCAGAACTGAGTGCCTTCTTCTACAAGGGAAACACGGCACATTTAATTATTGTCATATTAATACAATGATTGATTATTGTGTATGATTATTGATGGTGCAGTGGTTACTAAGCAACACGATGATGTGGTGACCTGGTGTTTCTTCCACCCTCCTCTGAAGCTCTGTCTCCACCTGGTCCATCACACTCTCCAGTTCATCCAGAAGCTTCTTCAGGTACTTCATGTTGTCATGGTCAAACAACTTGGACTGCAGAAACATGATCACATATAAATACCTCAGTTCACAGCATTTTATCTCGATTAAAAATCACAGGAGAAAAGTCATGGTACACGTCAAACTGCTGAACCTACAAATGAAATGTTCTCTCATCTATCTGAACTACTCTTAGTACATACATGTATCTCAGTGCTACTTGGTGTTCAATTTATATTCATGTTAAAATCTAAATAACACATGAATTCAGATTTAAATGTGGGATTTAAATGGCAGAAGCTGAGTTATTGATTAGCCGGGTTTTATTTTCCATCATTATTCTTTTATCGCTATTTAGCTGCAGCCTCGTTACTTAGAAGGTGGAATAACAAATACGGTGGTTCATCAAAACAGATGTTTTCCAATTACAGAAAACAGCTGGGGAACAAGTCAGTTTTAGATGTTGCTAAAGTCGCTATACTCCCACACTGCTCACTTTTCTGTTGCCTGATTAAATTAAGTTCACAGAATAGGTTGATAAACAGAGTAGTTACCACGACGTGGGCTTTTGTTTTAGCTCTATTACTTGAATTTTACATGATGTTTTGATGGTAATTATGTATTTTTATACATTGTTTACATTATGAAACAAATGCCACTTTCTGTTTTATGTAAATATACAAAATACATAAAACAACCTACAGTTGTTCATACTTGCCACTCTACTCATTAAATAACTTACTTTTATGCGCCTCTGTTTTGCAACATAAGCATCTTTCAGCTCTGGATTCTGCTCGGCCAGTTTTTTCAGCTCTGACTGTGTGTTTCCAATCTGTGCTGTCACACAAAAACATAAAACCAGGTCAGACATGATGAGACACACTTCAGTAACAGTGAAAATCAATATTCTCTCATAGAAACCTCTGGTTTAATGCAAACAGCTTCCTCTTTTAAGTAGAGTTATGTATGTGACATACAAAAATCTGAGATCTTCCAGAGCCTACATGACAGGAAATGAGCTCCCTGAGAAATACTTCCAACACTTTTTGAATCGATGCCTTAAAATGTGTGGCTGTTGTGTGGGTAAAACAGATTCTAAACCTTACTCCCTAACAACCAACACTGTGGATAAACATAATATAACATCATAGCTTGTAAATTGTTACCAGGGTGCCTCTCTTTGTGTCTTACATCGGATGCACGTAGCAGCATAGGCTGGTATGTGCGAGTCCACTGTGATCTCAGGGTGGAGGATGCAGCCGTGGGTATAGGCATCCATCTGTAGTGAGTCCAGCAGCTCTCTGTAGTGCTGCACCCTGTGGTAGTATGTGCTTCCCTCTTCAGGTACCAGCTTGGGAGTTCCCTCTGTGAAAATCCATGAAAACGAAGGAGCAATGATGTAAAAGTGTGAAACAGAACAGAATCAAAGGGATTTCTACTGCAGACGATAGAAATCTTGGTATTTTTTGGGGTGTAAGCTTGTTAAAGGAGGATTTAGAAAAGATTGGGGTGATGAAAAGGAAATGTGATATTTTCAGTATCTTAAAATATCCATGCTTACCATATTTTGTCCCCTGTGAGGTGACTGGACCCTTAGAACAAAGCTATCATGGATCAGTGCGAACCAAGAAAAAAATGAATCAATGAAAGAAAATTATAGAAAGGCATGATGCAAAATTAAGAACAAATCAAAACAACAAAATGATATTTATAAACCAAAAATAACAGAAAGAAAAAGAAGGAATCACTGGATGAAAATAAATAAGCAATGAAGTCTTAAAGTGCATTAAACAGTCGGTTACTGAGAGTGTGCAGCTGTGAAGAGTCTTTATTTAATCTCACCATTGTTAAAGTTGTGCTCCAGATAATCCATGATCTGTGTCGGGTCACAGATAACGTTGTCATCGTGGACTAAGACGGGCACTTCACCTGTTGGATTCAGACGCATGAACCAGGGCTCGTTGTGCTCACTGAGCGGCAGACTCACATTGTACTCCTGACACTGCAAACCTTTCTCTGCTATGGCCAGACGCACCTGAAACACATCAACTCTGTTTGACTGCAGCAGAGGTTTAAATATCTGAGTGAAACTCAGATTTGTTACAGTCATCAATCTATACATGACTGATCTACAATCAAATCTTGTATTATTTCTGCACCTTTTGTTGCCATGACTTTGCACCAGAGTGTTCAATTAAAACATCAACGAACGGTGACTGTGAATTTACTAAAATGCTGCTCTTGCTCTTTTTGCTACGTCGGTCGAAGCACTTTGTAAACCTTGTTTTTTAAGGTTAAATATAAATAAAGGTAATCATCATCGTTATTATTATATACTGCAGTCCTGATTTCACTATCTGTCTCCTCTCCCACTGAACTGTGATGCTGAAACATTCCCTTCTGGATCAGGAAGGTAACCACTGTGCTTCCTCGATGAACAGTGATGAAGTGTGCTGCAGGTCAGTGTTATTATCATACTATCATCATGAATCCTCAGGTACAGATGATGTGTGTGTGACATGAGTCTACAGATCTCATCCACTCCATCACATCCATTTTCTCAGAGTAGGAGCTGTCCACCGAGCTGTGGTGCTGAACCTCTCACCTTCTGAGAATTAAAAGACTGAGTCCAGTGATAAAGCGTCAGCTTGGACTCATGTTGTCTCTCAGGTGTGTCTCCTTCCGGCTGCTCAACAGAGTCCAGTCCCGACTCTTCTTCTATCAGAGCTGTTTTCTCATCCTGAGCTACAGAACCGCTTTCAGACGCCATTTTATTTGTTAGTATCATATTAGGGGACAAGTGAGGACGGAGCAGCAGGTCACGGTGAACCGAGTGCTCCCCCTACAGACTCGGAGTGTAACGTGAAACTGCTTTCTACAGACTTTTTTTTATTGAGAACAAACTATTTGGAAATAAAAATGCTTTTATTTCACAGTATATTGTCACAGTGAAGCTGTTTTTGTTTGTATAAGTGATAAAATGAGTTTAAACCTTCACCCTCTGTTGATCTTTTTCTTTTTTCCCTTCTGTTCTCCCTTCTCTCTTTTCCCTGTTTTTCGTTGTTGTTGTCTAATAGATACGACTGTAAACGTAGATAATCAGTAGTAGATTAAATCTGTTTTACCCATAGTTCAATCTGATTAAAATTTATTTTACTAATAACCATTACATAGTATATGTGTTGAGTATGTTACCTAGATTACTACTGATGAATACACGTTTCTAAACGTATATAATGCATGATTATAACATTAATAGGATATTTTTGATGTAAGAAACAAACACAACAAATTATTGTTGATAATTTCTATAACTTTACATGATGAAATGTCTCCTTGGTTATGCAGTACGTGTATTTGTACAGCAGAGGTCGCTCTGAGGTATTTCTTTAAGCAGTAGGCTTCTGTCGGTGAAGGATACACCTAGTTTATAGTTTACAGTACAGTACATAGTACATAGTTTACGGCTAGTAACAACACAAGTTCCATCTGAAACTTATAACTGTAACAAATGAAACTGAAGTGAGGAAACTTTGTAATTCTACATGTGCAGTTTAGAGGAGGAATTATTTGACTACTGACTTAAGTCTTGACTGAAATGTAAATAATTGCCCAGCAAACATGATGCATGCACTGCGAACAAAATTAGTTTGGGGTTTTATGAATGAATTCTAACAACACGATCAATCAAGAAATAAAAAAAAATAGGCCTAGAATCAGCTATTCAATACAATTATTTGGTATGTGAATATAAAATACAATAATGCAACAGATATATCATGGGTGTTAATATATAAAAAAAAGTCATAAAATCACAATTGATAATCACAAACACTCTTATTCTGTTATGGTAAATGTGGGAGCATCCATAATAATAATAACAATACAAATTATAATATTATTATAGATTATATATTATATTAGAGGGGGAGGTAGGATGAGAGGGAGAGGTAGGGTGGGAGAGAGAGAGAGAGGGAGAAGTTGAGTGGGGGAGAGAGAGAGAATGGTGGGAGAGAGGGGGAGAGGAAGGTAGGGGTGGGGGGGAGAGAGAGGGAGTGACATATAGGTGGGAGAGAAAGAGACAGAGAGGTATGTTGGGAGAAGGAGCGAGAGAGAGAGAGTGGGAGATAGTGGGAGATAGGGAGAGGGTGGGAGGTCCCGGTGTTGTGACGTTGTCATTGGCTCGGTGTGTCTCTTCAGCTCGGACTCGCCTCTCTCTCTCTCCCTCTGTGATCAGTGGGTGAGAGGGGGGAGACGAGCAGCACACAGCGGTCTACCTCCGGTGCTCCTCCGGTAAACGACGCCCACCGTTCATACCTCCACACATGCCTTCCCCCACATGTCAGCCTCCGTGTCCTCACCCTCCTGTTGTTCACTATCACTCTTTTTATCCCTCTAGTCATCATCGTCTCGTCGGCTCGTCCTGTCTTCACACCGCCGGTCCTGGAGCCCCTCGCCTCGGTCCTGGAGACGCCTGAGTCCGCAGCATCGGCTTCTATCTGCAGCCTTGTTATCTGAATGACGGGCGGAAGGTTTGACTTCGACGACGGTGGCACTTACTGCGGGGGGTGGGAGGATGGCAAAGCCCACGGACACGGCATCTGCACCGGACCCAAGGGCCAGGGCGAGTACGCCGGATCCTGGTCGCACGGCTTCGAGATAGTCGGGGTGTACACCTGGCCCAGCGGGAACACCTACAGGGGCTACTGGTCCCAGGGGAAGCGGCACGGGCTTGGGGTGGAGAACAAGGGGAAGTGGGTGTACCGCGGGGAGTGGAGTCACGGGTTTAAGGGTCGCTACGGGATCCGGCAGAGCCACAACACACCTGCCCGGTACGACGGCACCTGGAGCAACGGGCTGCAGGATGGATATGGGATCGAAACTTATGGTGATGGAGGTAAAGAGCACTTCTTATAGGTGTGTGTGTGTGTGTGTGTCGCTTTAACTGCTGTGGCTGGTGATGGTGCGTGTGTGTGTGTGTGTGTGTGCGTGTGTGATGCAGCCTGCGAGTGAGGAGGATGCTCAGACTCCAACAAACACATCAGCGCATGAATCTCCATCTGATGTGATGTGAGTTGATGCTGAGATTGCGCACTGCGGTCAAGATTCATCATGCACCTCAAAATAAAACAATAATTTATAACTCCACTGGGGAGAACTTGTCTGGTACCAGGTTCCTCTCTGATTCCATCATCATTTGGCAACAACCGGTTGCTCCTCTCATGACCAGCACCTCCTCTAGAAGGAGTTTCACAGCAAATCCCCTGCCTCTCTTATCGTTTTCACATCTGAACCTTCACCTGTCATGAAGAGTCATCATTCGGTGTCTCTTTCCAATCAAAAGCAACTGGTTTTCTTAGATTAGATTTTCTTCAGAAAGTACAACTGTTGGTGCCAAATCAGCCACTGTCAGGACTGCAATCCTTGTTTGGATGCATCTTCTCAATGCAAAGGGAAATATTAATCTCAATGGATGCAACATCCAGTGTTAAATAACTCAATCTCAAACTCTAGATAAACAATTTATGCTAACGTAATCAAAATTTGGGCATTGCATCGTTCTATTTAGCCTTGTTGAGTCATGCACCGGACACACTCTTGGACTAGCCATAATCGAGAGGTCAGCAAAAGGCTAATCCCAAAGCTTTGACCTTTCTCGTTGACGCTGGTGTGTTCGGAGTGATTGGGTTTTGTCTCGGGTCCAGAGTCTGAACAAGAGAAGTAACCCAGCGTCCCATTTAAACAAGGTAGCTTGTATATGATTCTGTTGAGCCATGTGTGTTCCATGGTGCCATTGCATCATCTTCACTAAAAGGTGCCTTATGGTGCAGAATAAATGCCATCTATCAACAATTTGTTCACTGTCAGACGTAATCACAATTCAGGCTCCACATCTGTCTGTTAAGCCACGAAAAGTCACCCACTGGACACACTTTTGCGAGGGGTCAGTTGAAGACCCAATCACAGACCTTTGACCTCACTCATTGACGTTGATGTGTTCATAGATTGGATTCTGATCAAGGAGAGAAGATCTTGCATGGGATTCCACAGAGCTGCTGTGTATTCCATGGTGTCATTGCATGTGTAAATCGTTAAGCATCATCCCCACTAACAGACGCCTTATGGTGCAGAGTAAATGCCTCACATATGATGGTTGCAGAGGGCCGGCCTTGGGAAATCAGCTGACCCTAGAGGATCTACAGAACATCTGGCCGTCTGACCCAGCAACATCCTGATAACTTGATCTGCAGGGTCACAGAATTGAACCGCAGCGCAGAGCCAGCCTGTTAATCTCATACTGTTTATCCATCTAAATGCCTACCCGGGCTGGTATATCATTTTACGCTAGAATCTCACCATAATGGCATACTTCGCCGTGCTGGTCAATGAGATGAGAGCGCTCGATTAAAACGCCTTCCTTTTTATTAGGATCAGCATTGTAATATGATGCTCTGAAGAAGCTACAGTAGGGCAGCACACGCTCATTGGGCTCAGCAGCACCAAATGGGATTAATGAAGTATTTCTCTCATTATGTGACTCATAGCAATTCCCTGTCGTCAGAGGCGAACGGATGGTGGTGAATGTGCCTACTGTCAGTGGGGGAGTTAGTGGCCGCCTGAAAATAGGCTCCTAGCTGAGTGATTCACATTCATCCCAAGTGATCCTCAGTACCAGTTCCTTAATCAAATCTCTGTGATTGAGTTAGTTATGCTCACGGCTCCGGATCTGAGGGGAAGGAGAGAAAACATTTCATTAGTTGACATAATCTGCTCCCTTACAGCAAGGCTGCTATGCTCCCTTATGTATTAGCTGATACAGAGAATATCAGGCCGACCAATTGCACAACAGGAATCAGACAAATCGTTCTCATTTTAACCGAGATGGAAATGTTACGCTGATATGATTCTAAAGCTTTTGAGGACAGGTTAAGCTGTGTGCACCATCTTCTATGATTTGAATTTCCAGTCTTTCTCAGAGAGTTTGTAAAATCCCAGACTACAGACGTGTTCCTGGCTTATACAGAATTTCATTTAGATAAAAGACTCTTTTTTGGAATTAGGCCCAGTGAGACAGACGGTAACCACAAGCAAACTCACACTCACAAGCAGGACTTTGAAAACACTTTGTCCTTGGTTAGATTATACTGTAGCTTTGAATTTGGAACAAATTAAGTTCGGATAATATTACTTCTCCAGGCTTTGATGGAATTATTCGCAATTTATTGACATAAGCAACATGTCACAAGTGGACAGTGCTTCTTTTAAAGGGGCCATGCACTAAAAATGTTTGGAACCACCACTTCAGAAATGTACAGTAATTCCCTATGACTCACTGACCCATGTCACCTGTTCCTTCAGGTACCTATCAAGGCCAATGGATGGGCGGTATGCGGCATGGCTATGGCGTGCGTCAGAGTGTTCCCTATGGCATGGCCACCGTTATCAAATCCCCTCTCCGTACATCCCTGGCCTCACTGCGCTCCGAACAGAGTAACGGAACGGTTCTCCAGGACCTCTCCTCCCCTGCAGACACACCTACAGGCAGTCGCGGCGGCTTCGTCCTCAACTTCCACTCAGACAGCGAGGTCGTCACCGGCAAGAAGAAGGGCCTGTTCCGCCGGGGTTCGCTCTTCGGCAGCCTCAGGCAGCTGCGCAAGTCGGACTCTCGGACCTCTATCTCCAGCAAGCGCAGCTCCGCGAGAAGCGACGCCACCATGAGCCGCATCAGCTCCAGCGACGCCAACTCCACCATATCCATCGGTGATGGCGAGCTGCCAGACGAGGACCTACCTCTGGAGGACCATGTGGACGCCACCACAACCGAGACCTACATGGGCGAATGGAAGAATGACAAACGCAATGGATTTGGTGTTTCGGAGAGATCCAATGGGATGAAGTATGAGGGAGAATGGCTTAACAACAAGCGCCACGGTTACGGGTGCACGGTTTTCCCAGACAGCACCAAAGAAGAAGGGAAGTACAAAAATAACGTGCTGGTGCGTGGAATACGGAAGCAGTTGATTCCTCTTAAAAACCCCAAAACCAAAGAGAAGGTGGATCGGGCTGTGGAGGGGGCACAGAGGGCTGCAGCCATCGCCAGGAGTAAAGTGGAAATAGCAGCCTCCAGGTACTGTGTTTATGTGTGTTTATTCATGCTTCTGTGTGCATATGGGTGTGTATTGTGTCAACACAACAAAAAGACAAGCCGGACATCCTCAGGCATTTATTTTCTCTGTCAAAGAGACCAAGCAGTGGCCTGTTTGACAAATTTCTCCTGGTCTGATTGTAAGTGGAGTCGCATCACAACAGCTCCGACCTTTATTCATCACCAACAGTCAAGGCTTTTGTGTAGCCGCTGTGATCGTCCCGGAAAAGGTTCTGTTTCTATTTTCTATTCTCTGCTCATATCTTTCATTCCCAGGGAGAGGGGTCAGGCATCTTGTGTGCGTGTGTGTGTGAGAGAGAGAGATTTGTGTGTCCGAGAGTTCATGTGCGTGAGCTGTATAGCCATACCCCCACTCGAGCCAAGTGAGTCTCGTGTGCCCAATAACGATACCTGCTCCCCCTGCCAAGCTTTGCTCTGATGTGGCATCTGCTCTTTAACAGGTGGATGAGACGTGACCTTTTCATTTAAAGCCGCCCCCCCCTACTGGGACACAGTTCAGGGTACGCAGCATCGCTTTGACATCCTCTGGTTTCAGTGCATCAGGGAATTATTAAACTGAAGACTGTCAGGGTGTGTACAAGCTGTGAAAAGGTCTCTATGCAATCATGCGCTATTTGATTTTCTTTTCCACGCTCACATGCATTTGCATTTATGAAAATATAAAACTCAAAAGTACACAAAGAAACTTAGCTGCAGGGCTCTGAAACTATCATTGATCATCTTAGCCTTTAATACTTCATATAATTAAACCGGCCTTAGTGTCTGGAGCATGCTAGCAGCTCAGTGAGGGTGTACTCATGCACAGCAGGGCTTTGAGCTAAGTGCTAACATCAGCATGTAAACACCTTCACAGTAATATACTGCTAACATGCCGATGGCTAACTGATACGGTATGACTTTTACCATGTTCTAGTTTTATGTGTTAGTATGATGCTAACACGAGCTGATGATTGGTCATCAAACCGTCAGGCAAATTGACTAGATGATGGCACGAAATGAAAGTTATCACAAGTCGCCCTTTTGCATCTGTTCTTATCATTCTATAGTTTTTGATCCATTTCACTCACATCCAAAATTGTTGACTTTTTGCTCAAGGAAATATCAGGGACGTTGAATGTTTTAGGGTTTGTCTGGGCTGCTGTTCGGCCCCACCTATGAATCAGCATGCTGATAATAACCGCCAATATGATAATTAATTCAAGTTCTTCTTT